TCTCTCTCTCTCTCTCTCTCTCTCTCTCTCTCTCTCCTCTCTCTCTCATCCAGGGAGGTCAGAAGCCTTCTCTCCCTATGGAGAATGTGAGTGTTAGGAATGTCTTCCTCACTTTCATATGACACTCCCAAGACAGATTCCAGCTAAACATTTGATATAGATGTTTTCTCAATTTCCTAGTGGACTGAACCCTCTCCATTGGTCTCTGATTTTCTTTCAAGGGAATTGATTTATCAATAGGTGTGTATTTGGCATATCCATGGTAAATGGGAGGATTAGGTGACTATTTTGAAATGTTGCTGACATCACTCCCTCAACATTAGGTGGACAGTTTGATTGAAATATGCACTGGTGTAGTTGTCTTTGGATCAAACCTAACTAGAGGTTAGAAACTTGAGGTTTCTGCACTTGCATATTTATATTTTTCTCCAGATTTGGTTACTTTCTGATCATTATGTTTTACATAAGTTTGCTCTCTCTTTCTCTTTTCTTCTTCTTTAACTCCTGTGATGTGAAATTAGCTATCTCAATGCTCTTTCATAAATCTTACAGGCTTTCTTCATTCATTCTTCATATTTCACTTCTTTGGTTGTATATTTTCAAATACCTTGCCTTAGAGTCACAGATTATTTCCCCTTCTGATCATTTCTGTTGTATTTTTCAGCTGTTGTATTCTTTCATATCTCTTACAGATCTTCATTGTTCACTTATTGATTTCCTGAATTTGTTAAATTATCTCTTTGGGTATTTTTGATCTTCACTACCATTCTTAAAAATGCTTGCTTAATTATGTGCCCAGTCATTCTCAGATGTCTTTTCTTTGGAGACAGTTACTTAAATTTTATTTGTTCTCCAATGGAGATAAATTTTCTATATTTGTATGTATGCATTTTGGCTTATTTTGCTGATAGCTGCCCATGTGATGAAGTGGTCACTTTGTAGATTGTTTTGCCTGGCTTCTCTGTGGAAAGACTTTCCCCTGTGGAACAATATGAATGCCCTGTCTTAGTGGGAAGCGTGACTCTTCCTGCACTGAGGGAACCATGATGGTTTCCATGAAGCACTATCGTTTGTGTCATTGGCAGATACTGCAGGGATCCCCAGGATCAACTCTGGGTAGCAGTGAGGGCCATAGGTGTGTTCAGTCACAAAGGCTCCATGGTTTTCCATTCCCTTTTCTCTAGTGGTGAAATCACTGCCAAGGGGGCTGCTCCAGGCACTGTCACTCCAGGGACACTGAAGCTAAAGTGACCCCTGTGGCTGACAGGCAATACCCATGCAGTGAACAAGCAGTAGTACACATGTAAGGGCTGCAAACCTGAGCATCAGCATGGCAATAGCTTCCATCACTGTCATCATGTGCAGCATGAGTGCTGCTGAGTGCTGGTTCTTACTGCAGCTTTAATAAAATGCTTTAGACTGGGCAATTGATAAACAACATGAATTTATTTGCACAATCTGGGAGGTTAGGAAGTACAAAAGCAGGAGGCCAGCAGTCACTGGTGAAGGCTTATTTTTCAGAAATGGCGCATTTTAGTGTGCTTCAATGGCACCAGAATAGACAAAAGCTATGTTCTTACAAAGCAGAAGAGCCAGAGAGATTTCTCACCTCCTTCATAAGGATACCATGAGTGGATGAAGGCAAAGCCCTTATAACTAATAATTTTCCAAAATGCCCAAATTCTTAATAACATCAAAAGAGGATTGAGGTCTCAACCTGAACATTAAAGGTAACTTTCTGACTATGGCAGCAGTTGTCCAAAGCATGCTTGTGCGCACACACACACACACACACACACACTCACATAGGTGACTGTGGGCTGGGGTGAATGCAGTGCAGCTGCAAAGCCAGGGCCAAGCATGAGCACTGACTTGCTATTGCATGGTTCTCAAGTCTCTGGCAAGGGTGCACACAATTTGGCTGTGGAACTGGGGTCTGAAAGGGGGATGTTCATGAAAAAGCTACAGCTCTGCTGTCAGGGCACTTGTGTATTTTAAGAAGGAGATGGCATCTCTATCCCTGGTATGGCACAACAGCAACTCCTTACGGACAGAGGGGCAGCAGCATCTCCCACTGCAGGAGTCCAGAGAAAGGCTCACTGTTGCAACCTCAGAGGGCAGAGATCCCACTGCTGTCTGCAGAGTTGCCTTTCTGGGGAGGAACATAGTGCCCACTCTGTGATGAATAAAGATAGCTCCCATCCTCCTCCTCTGTGTCTATCCAACTGCAGATATTTCAAGTGTCCTGAGCTCAGTGCATTTGTCTGTGAGATTTTCCTCCATTTTTACTTATGTATTCTTGATTAGTTCTACTGTGTCCCTGCAGGTTTATAAATAGTCACAGGAGTCCTACTCAGAATGCTAGAATACTATGACTACTAGAATTTCTATGTAGTTTTGTATTTGTGGTTTTTTTCTGGGGGGATGGAAGTTTGCATCTGCTCTGCCAACTTGCTGATATAATTTCCTTTAACTCATCAAGAGTGAATTTTGGCATCAAAGGGTGAAAAAAGAGGCAGCTGCTCATAGCATTACATCTATTAGTAGATGCAATGGAATTTTGATTTCCTATCCTTGCAATTTTAGAATCCACTATTTATTTTTAAGAGGAAGTTTTTATGTATAAAAGAAAGTCATTCCTTGCATCAAAGAACTTAATAATAATTTATTAAAATAGATTATGATGGCTACTTGTCCCTTTGAAATGCTCAAGCTAATGATTCAAGAGGCAAACTCCTATGATCTATATTGGGGGCCTTGTATTACTTTGATCCTATTAGTAAAAAGTTAATAAGATACTATAGAGAACAAAATTTAAGAAATGACTAATTATGTGGATACTTCAGCAATAACAGCTTGCATATATTCATCAGACAAGAATCAGTAACAGCTACAGTGCTGGTACCAGCCCTAGGACCACAGGGAGAGGCCACTGGGAAACTGCAGGGAATTGGTGCCTCTGGCAAATGCTGACTGTGCCAAATCTATAATAAATCAAGTGTCGCTATTTTCCTTAGTTAGGGGAACTTGACAAGCCTCTGCAGCATCAGGTGATGAAACATAGGATCCTCCCTGTAAAATGAGGCAAGAGGGCCCATGAATGCTTAGCAGATGAAAGAGCCCTCAAGGTTCATAGACAGAAGGAACAACTGCATTTAGGTTTCCTCTCTCTAAGTGCTGCTACAATTTGTACACTGTAATCATTTGTGGACCTCGAAAAATTATGGGGACATGCTATTTTTCACCATTTCCTTATTTCAAAATAATTGTATTGTCTCACATGTGATATAATATTTGGTAATATAATCACTGAGTCACATGGCAGTAATAGAGCAACAATAAGATTTACATATGCAGCTTGATGCTATTCATTTTAAATGTAAAGTATATATAAGGATCAAAGTGTATAATAGTGAATGTGAAAAAGGAAGAAAAGATCCATAGGGAAAGGAGAAGTGGGAAGGGTAGGGGCAAGGAAAGAAGGGAAAGGAATAGATATGAGAAAAGAAAAAAATGGAAACAAAGTCTTTGTAACTGGGAAGGGGGATTGGAGGGGTTGAAGGGTGCACAGGTAATGAGGAAAAAATAAGAACCAAGATACATTATATAAAGTTACAAAATCCCAATAATGGATGTCAGCATATCATATACCTAAATTGTACCAATAAAATTAATGATTTTAAAAATTTTAAAAATAAAGATTGCCATTCTTTTTGGGCAGAAACAAATAAAGCTCTGTCTACATTCCCTTAATCACTAAAGCAAGCATATTTTTCATACCTTCATGCAGCTAAGCCTTTGTTCTGCTTATAAGATTTAAAAATTTTGCCCTGCAAATAGTCAATAATATATTTATGAGAGTTTTGAGGAAGCATGAACTAATTCTCCATTAATTTTTGTATTCTACTGAAACATAAGATTCACATGTGAATAAACTAGTAGATTTGCTAAAACACATAAATATATGCAAAGTCAATCAATAAACCCTCACTTAACTTTACTATAATTAAACTGAATGGAAGAAAGAACAAATAAAATTTTGGCACACTTAAAAATGTTAGCAAAATTTATCTACATAAAGAGTAGCACATATTTATTCAAGACAGATAAGGTAGAGTGACACAAAAAATAATCACTGTAAATATATGAGTATGCACTTATAAGAGAATTGCTTAAAACCACCTTTTACTTCTCAGCTTTTCTAGAGCCTTCTTCACATCCTTGTTCCGTAGGCTGTAAATCAGAGGGTTCAGCATGGGAATCACCAGAGTGTACAACAGTGAGGTCCTTTTGTCCTGATCTAAGGAGTAGGAAGAACTGGGCCGGAAGTACATGAAGAGAATAGTTCCCTGGAATATGGCAACAGCAGTGAGGTGGGAGGCACAGGTGGAGAAAGCCTTGACCCTCCCTTCAGCAGAGCAGATCTTTAAGACAGATAAAATGATGTACCAATAAGAAACAAGGACTCCTGAGATGGTGCTCAATTCAATAAACCCAAAAATGATAAATATCACCCATTCATTGATCCATGTGTCTGAGCAAGATAGTAGAAGGAGAGCAAGGGCATCACAGAAGAAATGATTAATTTCATTGGACCCACAGAAACACAAGCAGAATGCCAGTACTGTATTTATCAAGGCATCTGCCAATGCCACCAGGAAAATCCAAGCCTGAAATCGGGAGCACATCTTGCTGGACATGTGGGCTGTATACAGGAGGGGGTTGCTGATGGCCTTGTACCTGTCAAAGGCCATCACCGCCAGCAGCATGCACTCTGCATCTACAAACATGATTACGGTGAAGAACTGCAGAGCACAGCCAACAAAGGGAATCGATTTCCTCTCAACTAAGAGGTCCACCAGCATCTTGGGTCCGATTGCAGAGGAACAGCACAGGTCAGAGAAAGAGAGGTTGCTGAGGAAAAAGTACATGGGAGTGTGGAGCTTGGAATCCATTCTGATTAATAGGATCATTCCAAGATTTGCCAGGAAATTAATGAGGTAAACAAGTAGAAAAATGGTGAAAAGGGTTGCTTTGATGTCAGTGTTATTGGTGATTCCCAAGAAAATGAATTCTCTCAAGGAGGAGCAATTTCCTCTGTCCATTCTTCTTTTTTCTCTTGTAACCTAAAGAAAAATTGTTAAAATAGATACATGTTTAATATTTCTGCATAATCCTCAAATTATCTCCAAGATAGATGACTTTCTGCACCTACAATTTTTGCTTTTAACTGCAGAATATTATTCAGTTGTTTCTCATTCTTTAAAGAGCCTTTCATTTATTGGCAATACTTTAAAATCCTTAAACATCAACTGAAAAACTTCTGGTTAGAATCTAGACTCCATTCATGAAGGATATCACTTTGTACATGTTGTTTAATGTCTCTGTACCTTACTTTACTTCAGAAAGCATAGTTTTAATGGGCCAAAGTCTCAATACATATTTAAATTAATGTGGAAGAAGCATCACTCTTAAGGATACTAAGCAGCAAGATGCAGGGTTAAGCAATTGATAGTTTTGAAAACATTAACGTTGACACAAAATAACGCCAATTACTATGTTTCTCAAAAATCACAGTTGGCTTGAAAAAACGTTGTATTACTTCTGGAAGCAATGAATATATTATTGAATAATACAAAGCAAATTATATTCTATAGTTTCTGATCAGTGTGTTATTTAGTTTTGATAAGACATGGGATAAGTTGTGCATATTATTGACTTTTTGCTTGAGATTCATGTTATCATTTTGCCTCAATATCCTGTTCCCAGGGGCATTCTGCTGCCAAATCCTGACAAGTAAAAAATGATGCTTACAAAGAAATTTAAGCTTAATAATATAGGTATGCATTTGCATTATGACTGATTTTAACTGGACTTTTTATCTGAAAAAACTGTAAGGTACAATAAACAGTTTTATGATATTTAGCCCTCACTTCTTTCTGTATACGTGTATGATTTCCTCCATTTGTACATATGAATCTCTTCACTGATGGGAGAATTAGAATACAGGAAATGTATTGTTGAATTTTATCATTCCCAATTTATGTGTTTGTTATTTTTTGCCTAGACAATTATAGTATGTGGTTCATAGGGAGTTAAATTATACATTTTATTACGTGCAACTATCATTTCAGGTTTTCTTTTTAATTAGCACAAAAAAACAAGAACATTAAATGAATGTATGTACTTACAGAATAATGAGTAAATACTTGTTTATGAGCACAGATTGAAATATAATAATTAAAACACTGCTTTGTGGAAAATAATTTGTCAGTGTTTTCCAATTCTGAGCATAAATTGTTGTTTTTGGTCATTAGATTTTAAAATTTAATGCAGTTGGCATAAAATTATTCATTGATAAATCTTTTTTCATAATGATAATTTTAACCTTACATTTTTGAATTTGGTAACTCAAGAACTTACCTGAAATGAGCAATTAGTTTGGTAGTTGGATAACAAGTACAGAGGATATTATTATATCAGGTAGCATTTGGGACTTAAATTCTCTAAAGCTACTTCCCTAAGGCTTTAGTGTTTTGCAAAGATGTCGATAATTATATCTAAGGTTCTATATTTTCCCTTGTGAACACATGAACTTCTTTAGCACTGGTTGAACTTTAATTACTTACTGTTGTCACCAAAATTGTCTGTATAATGATGAAACTTAAAACAAAACTCCAACTGTAAAATATCGTAGCATGTTCATATTGTATTCTTTGAAATGTAATGCACTTCTTCCTGGTTCAGAGAAAGCAGAATCAAATGAAACTCACAGAGCCCAAATCATTTCCAAATCCTATCTGATGTTCATCTTTTTGCCACTTTTGAAGTATTCTTCAGTACCATAATGGCCTATTACTACATTCTCCTGATACAGGATTATTGCGAGACATAAATTTTATATTTTAAATCTCAAACTTTTAAAGTGAACAATTCTTGGTTTTAGTACAATCCCAAGGTTTGGCAGCCACAGTGGCTATGTAATTCTGAATGTGTCTTATCTCTTTAGTAAGAAACATGTGACTAGATAGTTAGTCTTTGTTCCACCTTCTCCTCTCCCTTCAGTTCCTAGCAAACTTTATCTTCTGACTCCACGTATTCACATATTCTGATCATGAAATTCAATATAAAATACAGAATAAAGGAATCATACCATACCTGCCATTATGTGTTGATTTTCTCTTAGCATAAATTTGCAAAATCTCAATTTTGGCAAGTTTCAGAATTCCCTTCCATCTCATACTGAGTTAGCTGTCATTGTAGGAATATGACACAATAATGTTGATCCTTTGTAAGTTGATGCATGTCTAGATAATTCTAGTTTTTACTTTTATAAATAGCAATGCTATGGACATCAATTTTAATGAAAATTTAAAGGCCACTTTTTTACCCAACATATCACATTCCCACCCCCAGCCACTGTAATCTAACCATGTTGCAATGATTCCATGAATATGTTATTTGTTTACACTTAGAACTTTCACTTTTGAATTATTTTAAATACAGTGAACCCTCAAGATATAATCATCCTGACATATGAACAACTTGGGTAACAACATGAATTTTAGTTTTAACTTATGATGGAATCCTTGAGTTACAACCCAAATGGCAGCTGCTAGTGCTTCCTGATGGTCTCAGGTACCGATTTAACCCTTAAAGAGTTCTCAGAGGAACATGGCAACCTTCTCTCCTGTGAGGGGTTCATTGAGAAATCCTGGGCCAATGTCTCTCTAAGGACACTGAGATCTGTCTGGAAGAAAGTGTGGCTGAAAATTGCAAAGGAGAGAGACTTTGAAGGTGATTGACCAACTTGAACTACAACCAGCCCTCAGGAATGAATTGAGTTCATAAGTCAAGGGTCAACTGTATATATCCATGTAATCATTTCCCTCTTACATTTAAATGTTCAAAATAAAGTTTGTGTTTGTTCTTTTTGTTTATTCCCTAGGGTTTATAGTAATATTATCATCATTAATTATTTTTGACATTTTATAATGGACTTTAGTGAACTGAAAATAGAAATGTACTGAAATTTGGCATTACTGAAATAGATCACGTGTAAGAATAATTCACTTTACACTTATACACAACAAATTACTTTTCTCAAAAACAGAGTTCCATGTCTTTTTCTACAAATAATTTCCTTTACTATTTCCCATACTAATTCTTTAAAAAAATGAGAACTACTGGAAGATTAGATTTCATATTTACAACAAATAACAATGAAATTCTCAATATTCTTTTAACCATTGTCTATTATTGTAGTATCAGGTTTGTTTGGGTTATTTAAACAATTTCCAGATCCAACCATTCTTAAGAATTGCTATTTCTTTTGTTGAGTTGACTTTTTTATCATTTTGTAATCAACTTTCTCTTCCATTTTTACCATTTTGACTTAAAATCTATTCTTTCTGCTAGAAGTATGGTACTCCTGCTTTCTTTTGGTCTCAAATTTTATTGAATATCCAATTCTATTGCTTCTCTTTTAATTGACATGAAGTAAGTTTCTTCCAGAAAATGTGCAGCTCATATCTTGTAGAGACATAAAATAAGGACTGCCAGGATGGCTTCAGAAAGTGATAAGAATCATAGTATAAGCGTTTGAAGTGAGGGAGAGTATTTTGAAGGGGGTTAATGCCAATGTGTCTTTTACTGTGATATATTATTTAATTAAACAAAAAATCATATTTCTGCTCAGCTCTTCTAATTTTATCAGTACCATCACCCAAAGAATGACAATACTGAAAAGACATGTAATTGTATCACTAAGATGCTCTCTCTTATAAAGAAACATTTTTAATAATTTAGCCTAAAGTGTAGTCTAACTTTCAAAGAATTTTTAAAAAGACTTTGTCCTTATCCAAATATATATCAGATATATATCACATGTATATCAGATTTAGAAGACAAAGTAATTATCTGGAATTTTATTTGTACACTTTTGTTTAGCCTCTCAGCTTTTACATTATTTTCACAAATGTGAAATTTTAGTTTATGGATTTTGTAGTGAAAGATAAGTTAACTGCAATACATATAGAAATTTATCCATTCTTCAGTTACACAATTATTCCTCAGAACATGGCAAATATGGAGCATTTTCTCCAAGATTATTACATGACACAGCCTCAGAAATATTGTTTTATTTATTTTCTCTGTGCTCCTTGGAATTGTGAGGTAAGGCAGGCCTCTGCAAACAAAAGTTAATGATACTGAGGGTCCTGTTAAGGTAAATAGAGTAAGTCAAATATAGCAGGCTTTCCTCCTGCCCCCTTGTTCAGCCAGTACTATGCTGATTCTATCCAGCAGTGGTGAAAAAGGGAGTTGGGAGACTCTGTTCTTAGAAGAGTATTACTCTGCTGATCATTATTTTTGTGAATGTGACATAAGACAGTATAGCAATTCATGATAGTTCCCAAAAGAATTATGCTTTTTTCAAAGATAGGTACTTTTATTGTAATTACACAGTAATTAGAAATGTGTTGAGAGCATGTGCTTTGGATTCAGACAAATGCAATGTAGAAGGATTCCAGAAGATTCCTGGTTGCTTCTGGAGTTCATGTTTTCTTTCTGAGTAACACAGTGCAATGCTTGAAATAATGATAGCATATATATGGAGAAAGAAAGCTATATAAAACATAATGCCTTTACTAATAGATCCATAATATTTTATATTTAATTTATATATTTTGTCCCTTCAAATCCAGTGCTGCATGAAGATGCTCAGAAAATGCACACTCATAGGAGGGAGAGTAGAGATATTTTCATGGAAGAATATGAATGTATTTCTTAGGTCTCGGTATTAGTGAAAGCGTCCAAGAAATCGTAGGCTAAGTTTGTGAATTAGTATTGGTTGAGGGCAGGGCACTGTATCGGTAAGTATAGAGGAAATACTGTTGTATACACAAATCCACTCTTCCTCAAAAAACTGCTCTAAATAATAATGTGTGAGTTATTCCAAAAATAAATACAGTGTTTTTTTGAAGTATTGTCTAAACTAATTTTTTGCAAAAAGAATAATTGTTATATATATGAACCATATTAGTAGAAAAAGAAATGAACTGTTGTTTATTTTTACTTTTTGTTGAACACCCACCAGTTTAACAATCTTAATATATTTAATAGCATAAATGTATTCATGCCAATCTGTGTACTATCCACCACGGGAGTGTAGAAATGCATGTATTTTTACTATATAAATACTTAAATCACAAAGCGCATACTAGGTATATTGTACAGCCATAAATTAAGTGAAATGCATCTGACATGAGGTTGAGGGAGAAGGCTAGCACAGTGTTTAATGAAACAGCATCATGTAGGATCACCATATTTCTAAATGGGATGTGAAACAGACTATCTCAGAACTGAAAGAAACAGAACAGACAATGAAAAGGACTTGGGAATCTCTAAGAACAGGGTATATTCCAATCTCATTATATGTCTACTTTCACAAGAAGTTGTGACAGCTATAAAGCCTGTTGTTAAGTAAGATTTTGGAAATTCTGACATTAGTCAATTTACTGACAAGAGGTAAAGAATCAGGAGTTCAGCTTTTGCCAATGTTGTTACAGTGTTCCCAGGAAAATACGCAACAGTTTAATAAAGCATATTCAAATAATGCAGTGAATGTTGATGCTTTGGGAGATTTAAGTCCCTACAGTGAAGTAAGTAGGTGAAAGAAATATGATCTAATAGGGTTCAGCTACCAGGGATAAGGACAGAAAGACTAACATCCCATTTCTGTTTACCACTTCTCCATTTTGAAGCTGTTTGACCTATTCTTATATTTGTAAATAATGAACCACATCATAGAATTAACTATTAAATCTATGACTTCATTCATTTTGAATATTATGTGTAATGTTAGTGAAATTATTGCACTTAATAAGCAATTATAAATATTTTACAGTCATAGATTTGGTTAGCATAATCTGTTTAGTCTTTAATAGCCTCTCAAATGCATTTTGTCTTGAGCTCCAAAGAAATGTACTGTGCTTTTAGTTTTCATCCATTACCTAATGGAGATATTCATCTCAGTAATTCAGTTTGTGAAGGCGTTACCTTAAGTGAATTGAATTTTCTCTTGGAAGAGGGACATTATGCTAGTCGATCAAAAGACGAATGTATAAATTGAAAAAAATTACAGTAAGTGACACATTGCCAAGAAAAATGGGACAAATGGTCTCTAGTTGATGGGAAGTAGTTTTAGTATTTTGAGGGGGTTGAGGCCAATGTGTGTTTTACTGTATAATTTTAAAAATTTAAATATTTGCCATTTTTGATCCTGCATAATAATATGGTGTTT